TATTTCATGGAGGTTGACAGACATATAGGAGGTACACTGAGAAGTGTATTTCACATGCAGAACATCATGACTAGATGTGATAAGATGATAATGTATTTAATGCATTATTACTGTAGTAACCCTAAATTTTTATTTCCATTTGAATTCTACCTTTCCAAAGTTTTTTTCTTGCCATTGATTTCTAAACTTCTAAAATATAAGTTTTCTTTTTTAGCAGTGCATAGCGGCTGAAAAGATATTCGCATTTTTCTTTATGGACGAAGAGATGTATACTCCATGTCTTGCTTAGAGGATCCTTGTCCAATCGTTGTATGAGGGATCACCCTTTATAGAGATGTCAATTAAACTCGAAGCCCGAAATTCAGCCCGGATCTTTCCGAAAAAATTAAGGACATAGGCCTAATAATATAGGCCCGACAAATAAATAGACGGGTCGGTCCAGTCCAAAAAAATAAAGGTCCGAATCGAGTTCGGCCCGATACCCGTCCGACCTGTCCGTTGAGCCCGAAATATATCAAATGATTAGATTTTTATTCTCATATAACATAAAAAATCTTTTATTTATATTATATATATTTTTATATTTGATGGGTTTGATTAATATATATATATACACTAAAATTATATATTATTTTATTTCTAAAATCATATAATATATATATATATATATATATTATCGACTATTTTGATAAGATTTTGGTCTAATTTATATGTCTAATGTTTTATGAATTGAATTTTAAATTTTATATCAATATTTTTTTATATTTTTTTTACCGAATATATATTATATATATTAAAAATTATTAGATAAATTTGAATATTTTAAAGTTTATATAGTCATTTTTTAATTTAAAATTTTTTAATTGTAGTTGATGTGGATAAAAAAAATTTATCTTTATTTTAATATATATATTTTTATGGGATGTAGTATTAGACAATTAATCAATTGAATATATGTTTTTCAATTTTATTTGTATTTCATTGAATGTTTTATATTATTATTATTATTATCATAAAAAATATTTTCATTTAATAAAAAAATTCCGGAGTCCGGTCCTCAGTACGCTCATCCTCCGGACCATCGATGATAGATCCCAAAAATAAATGCGCAGGCCAGTGCGATATAAAAAAATTTAGACCCGAATTGAACCTGGTCTGAACCCGGTTCAGCCCACCTATTTTACACCCCTGACCCTTTATAATGTTTTACATTGGTTTTATGGGTTATGAGGTTATTTATATGTGATTTTATGATTATTATTTTAATATCACAAAAATAATTTTTTAATATAGTAATGCAACAATTTTTAAATTCTTTCACTTTTTATTTCTTCAATTATATATATATATATAATGATTTAATAATATACTTTTCCCTGTATTAATATTCAATGATTTTTCAAAAACAAAAATAACTTAATATTTTATATATTATGTGTATATATATATATGTTTTGTTTTTAAATGGAAACAAGAAGAGAATTTGGAAAGAAACAAAAGTAACTGTGAAGAGAAAATAACAGAAAATTTGTAATGTTCCGATTATATACATAATATTAGAATAACTACTACGATAATAACATCAATAATATGCATGTTAAAACATAAAATAACTACTAAAAAGAGAGAGTTACCACAAAATTAAAGAAAATAACATTTTTATAAATAAGTAATTAATTATTAAAAAACAGTGGCGAAGACTTTAATACCAATTAGTAGCAAGGTGATTGATTTCTCCTTATTCAAGTATATAGAGTGGAGGTTACAATTGATTTGGCCTAACACATCATCTCTTACCTGGTATTTTGTTTAATTTTTATTGGTTTATAATTAACAAATGAAATAAAATCATAATAAAATTATGGCCAAAAGTATTTAAGATCCACTAATAAAAATATGTAACCATTAACCATCATAACAATCCTTATTATAATAAATGGAATATTTAGAAAAATCTATGATATAAAAAAAACAGATGGATAAGATTGTTCATAATTTCAATAATAAAAAACAAAAGCAGTGCTCAACAGTATTCAGAAGATTAAAATAAATGCAATTATTTTTTCTTACTAAGTCATATTTTTTTTAAATAAAAAAGTAGAATAAAGTTACATATAATATGAAAATAAAAAGAAAATAGAAAAAATCAATGTGGCCGTTCATACAATATAGTATTACATTTTGAATGGTATGCTATAATCATACGATAGTGATCATTGGAAGATATTTATGGTTTCATATTTTCTCATGTTTAAACATGTTGTCTTTTCTCAGCAGGTTATTGTTACAGAAGTAAAGTTCTACGTTTCACGCAATCGATGATCAGAAACTCGATCCAACACCAACTTGCTTCATAATCTGAGAATTTGATTCACGCTCCATACTTTGAGAAATATTTACAGGTCACAGATCTCGATTGGTTTATGTTATAAATTTATTATTTGCATCGATCACAAAAGGCTTGCGAGGATCGGGAAACACAAGAGATGAGAGCTAGAGGATAAACAAGCGGCTCTCACAGTCTGCAGAAGTTCCAAGAAGAAGTTCGCACCTCTATCACCAAGATATGGCAGCACATTGATATCCAATCCGACGACAAGGACTTCAGCACCGGTCAGAAGGCCCAGAGGTGGCCGTAGGTAAATTCTCGGGCGGAATGGTAAGTTGTGGTCGAAAACCAGACATGATGTGAAATGGGGTCGAAGTCTAAACCCTTTGGTTTGGAGGATCGAAACAATGTTATATTTCGCTTGGATGAAAAGTTTTATAATGTTTTAGGTTTTTTTTTTAAAAAAAAATTATGTTTTTGTTTCGGGACTCTTGAAAAGAAAAATTTCCGTTAAATGTCGAGAATGGAGTTACAGTATTAAGGTTGTAAGTAATGCCAAAACTGACAATTTTATTTATCTTATATTCTTACTTTTTGTATTACATTATTATAACGAAAGAGTAAAAATGATATGATGGTTAATTAGTGTGAATAGTGGAGATAAAATGTAAAGTGTCAAAAGTACGACAGAAGATGAGAAGCGGACGAATGGAAGATAACGGTGAAGACAATGGGTCCGCGAAAAAAATGATGGAAGGAGCTGCCTGAAAATTCGTGTTATTTTGTGGATATATCGCGTCGATCTCTCGATGAACTCAAGAAGATGTATGTTAAGTGTAAAGGTGTAACTCCATTTCTATTGATCAAACATGTATTTCATCGTAAAAAAAAGATATAAAATTATATTGATAGATTTATCCAACACATATAAAAAAATAATATTACAATATAAGAATTGAATGATATTTAAATTGTTTCAATTCTTCCAGTTTTTATATATATATCAAGAACGAAAAAAAAAAATCTTTTTTATATTAACAACAAAATAGAATAAACCGCGTATCGCGCGATGCTCATCTAGTGAAATTAAAATTTAAGATTTGCTTACGCTTTTTAGGTGTTAGGAATATAATAATGTGATGTGACAGTGTTCACATTGACTCCAACTAGCAGAGTTTAAAGTTTAAAGACATTAGCATTGACAAAGGGGTAGTTTGGGAATCTAGCAAAAGGTCACGGGGAACAAGCGAGTGGAGTCACGCGCTGCTTGTGTTGTGCTCACGGCTAGGAATGAAAACGACGTCGTTTGTGAAACAAAAGCCTTGCGTGATCTAATTAGTCACATGCAGTTTTCTTTTTTCCGACGTTGTTACGATGAATATGAATTCCCTAATACTTTATACGAAAATAATAATTAAGATTTTCAGGAAAATGTCGTACTACTAAAAAGCTTTGTTTATAATTTGGCCTGAAAAAAAAATAGATCACTTTGGTTATTATTGCAAATTTGGACGTGGATAACGTTTTAGTTTGATTAATTTAAATTTGTTTCTTAAAATATATGATTTCGATTTTTATTCAGTTTAAATCTATTTTTAGTTTTATTTAAATTCAGTTTGAATACATTCTTTTTATGAAAAATTATATTTAGAAAATTTTTTCTGTGTGAATTTTCGATTATATTTATATTTGATTTTATATTCTAATTAGAGTTAATTTATTTTTAAAATTGTAATATATTTTTACTTAAAGTTAAATTTAAACATAATCATGTATTATCAAAATCGATACAATTTTATATTTACTCTTAATTTTTATGCATATTCAGTACATAAAATAAAATGCAAATGTATCATTTCCGGGTTTTTTCTCTCTTAAATAAATATAGAGCACTATTATTGGAATATACCAAAATGTCAAGGTGTTTGCAACACGGTTTTTTTTCGACTTTACGTAACTATAAAAATAACAATTTTTATCTCATCATTTAATAACCTTTCTTTTTCTCTCTAATCTACACATATATGTATATGTGCATGCGTATATGTACAAACATGATATAATATCATATGTTGTCATAACCATATCGTTTTTTTTTTGGTTTAATGTAAATATATACCCGAGGAATAAAAAGAGTTTTACTATCAGTGCTCAGCACCTGAACCTAAGCCATATGGAACCATGAGAAATACAAAAACGTCTAATACAAAAACGTTCTACTCGCCTATGTCGTAAGAGAGAACCAGTCCTCCAACAGGGTAATGTACTTCCCCGACCTCTGTCGTTGGTTTGCTAGTATAACACTTCTCACCATGCTGTCCAATTGACTCCTTAAAACACTCGTCGGCTTCGAGATTCTCTTAAATATTCGGTCATTTCGCTCCTTCCAAATCAAGTGGATCGTAGCCTGTAGGATAAGCTTGGCTATTAATGGTCGGTGTTTGCTTCTATCGCGCCCTGGTTGATCAAACCATTGCACGCAACTGTCAAGAATCGTAGGTGGTTGAGGCCAACATTTTCCTGCATATATAGACCAGACATCCGCACTAAATGAGCACTGAAAGAATAAATGGTTATGGGTTTCATCCACACCATCTCACACAATGAGCATCGCGGGTCAATGGCAAGACCCCACCGTGCAAGCCTATCTTTCGTTGAGCCTGCCATTGTATCATAGAGTATCGAGGAATCGCAAGACTGAACCAAACAAGCGGATGCCAGGTAACCGAGGGTGATGGGGATCGAAGAAGCCTCCATGTCGTTGCGGTTGAGAATGAGTCCCGGTAGTCATCATCTCCATGCTTCCACAGTGATATATCCGGGCCTGCTCCTTCGTTGGTGGGGGGATGCCTGTGAGGGCAATGTGGAGCTCGTGTATTCGAGCTGAACATGCTCCCGGTAGGCTCCAACCACCAGATTCTATCGCATCCTTAACAAGGCAACACCTTGGTAACCTCATAAGCCTTGGTCCATGCTCACCAATAACGTCGATCAATGGACCGAATCTAGACCAATTGTCTGTCCAGAAGCGAGTGTTATAGCCATCTCCTAGTTCCACCTTCACAAAATTCCGTGCTATGTGTCTAAGTCGCAGTAATTTGTTTAGGTTCCAAGAGTAACTTGGGGTCGCGTTTGTGTCCCATAACCCTCGCCTTTTAAATACGTTTTGTCGGAGCCATGCAACCCAGAGAGAGCCTGACTTAGTAAGCAATAACCATACTAGCTTCAGTCTAAATACAACATTGCATTCTTCCAACTTCCTTAGTCCAAGCCCACCTTCCGATCGAGGCACACAGATTTTATTCCATGCTACCCGATATGAGCATGATGTACATGCGGAGTTCTTCCACAAGAAGGCCGAGCAAAGACCATCAATTAGCTTCAACAAGTACTTTGGTAACAAGAAAACTGAGCTCCAAGCATGGACCAAGCCATATATAGATGTAGCAATTAGCTGAACCTTACCGGCAAGGGATAGGAGTTTAGTTGTCCAAGATTCTAGCTTTGCTTTGATCCTGTCAATGATGGGTTGGTAATATGATTTTGATAGCCTTGTTGGACTTAGCGGGATCCCCAGGTATCGGACAGGTAGCTGCCCCTTACTCAGCCCTAGACTCGAGCACAACATCACAGAGTCTTCATCAGATATCCCACTGGTGAAGAGTTCAGATTTTTCCAAGTTTAGTTTCAGACCTGAGAACGTGCCAAAATCTGGCAGAACTTTCATGACCTGTTCAAGAGAACTCGCAGTGGCCTCGGTAAAAATCATGACATCGTCAGCAAAGGATAGGTGAGTGAGACGAGGCTGAGCACATTTAGAATGCAGGCCAAATTTAGCCTCACTTGCTGCCTTCTCAAGTATTGGGGCTAACATTTCCATTGACAAAATAAAAAGATAAGGCGAGATGGGGTCACTTTGCCTTAGTCCTCTTGCCCCCTCGAAGTAGCCTGACAGCTCACCGTTGATTGCAACTGAGAACATAGGTATGGTGATGCAGTCTTTTACCCAACCAATGTAGACTTGCGGTAGTTTGAGAGCTTCAAGGGTTTGCAAGATAAAGTCTCAATGCAAGGAGTCAAAGGCTTTTCTGATGTCTATTTTCAGCATTGCGTTTTTCCGCCCCTTTCTACTATTGTAACCACGAACAAGCTCAGTCGACAAGAGTATGTTTTCCATCATTAATCGACCCTGGAGGAAGGCTGATTGATTTCTGGAGATGATCGATGGCAGAATGGGCAAGAGGACTAAGGCAAGGCTATCCAAAAGAATTTGTTGTTTGCGAGAGTGTTCATAGTCCGTCGAATATCATCTGGAGTCGGTATCCTGGCCATGGCAGACAGTATTTGCGAGTTGGTGCTTGGCGCAAGTAATTCACTAAACCACGATGAAGGGGGGACTCGCACATCAGAGTCAGGTGTTCCAAGGTGCTCAGTGAAGTATCTAACTGCTTCAACCTTAATATCATCGGGATCTTCCCAGCGTTGCCCCTGGCTATCTACCAGAAAATGAATCTTGTTGCTTGCATTCCTTGCTTTGGTCATCTTGTGGAAAAATGTTGTGTTTCTGTCTCCAAGTTGCAACCATTTGATCCGCGATTTCTGTCTATAGAATCTTTCCTCAGCAGCTTATAGGAGTGACCATTCAATACGGCATTTATGCTCAGCTTCGACCAGTGACTCAGATGGGGATGTCAACAGTTGGCTCTGTAAAACGATGAGTCTTTCATTTGATTCACTAACACGTTGGGATATCTGGCTAAACCTAGATTGATTCAGCCGACGCAATGGAGTCTTAAGGAGCTTAAGAGAACGACAGAGTGCGAATTGCTTAGTACCATAAATCAGCCATGCTCCCCAGCTGTTTCTGAGTATCTGTAGAAACTCCGGTATAAGGGTTAGGTGTTGGAAAAACTTAAACGGTCTTTTTACCTGGGCCTCAAGATTCCCAATGGAAGGCATTTTTAATAACCCGGTAGCATGGTCTGAGGGCCTTGGGGGGCCGAATTCAGCATATGCCTCCGGGAAGTGGTCACTCCATGTCTGGTTCCCCATGATACGATCAATCTTTGTGGATAGTGGCCGTTCACCCTGGTTGTTGAACCATGTGAAAGGAAGCCCCCGCATTTGGATGTCACAGATTCCCGCAGCACAAACACAATCCTCAAAGTCTAATATACCCTGCAGTGGCACATTCTGTTCTGGGTAATCTGACCTGTCAATGACCCGCAAAATTTGGTTAAAATCACCCAATAACAGCCAAGGTAGTGAATTAGCCAGCCTGCCAGCAGAGAGTTCACGAATCGCTTGCCAAAGCTCCCTACGCTCAAGTGCAGTGTTTTTCCCATAAACAAAAGATGTAAGCACGTCATTACCCAGAGAAGGATGAGAGAGCTTGCATGTGATAATCTGTCCCAACGACATACAAATAGATAGTGAGACTGATTGGTGTCAGACAACTATAATCCTGCCTGATACATCACTCCCATAGTTGCAGTGGAAGTTCCAACCGGTTGGCAAAATTTCCCGGATTCTATCCGCATTGTGGAGCTGTATGTGTGTTTCCAAAAACGCTCCAACCAAAAATTTCTGATCCAAAATCCATTGTCTCACCCAAAACCTTTTATTCCGGGCATTTAGCCCTGGCACGTTCCAGGCAAAAAGCATGGTAACCAGTGGTAATTTCAATTCCTCTTCGCAGCCTTTCGGCTGCGACCTTTCCCCCGTAACCGGCCTTTGTCGGACGTAGATGTTTGTGGCTTATTTTTAGGTATGGAGTTATGGGTTGGCATTTGGCCTGTGGTTTGGTTTTGTATTGGTGATGGGTCTAGCTGGTGGTCAGTGGGTGTGGATGGCCGATCCGATGCCTGATTCGGTACAACCGTTACTACCTCCTCGATAGGGAGTTCGACCAAAGGGAGCAGTGAGGAGTTGGTAGGGCCTTGGGGAGGGGCCTCTTCCTGAACTTCAGGGCTTGAAGAAGCACTTTGCTTTGCTACCCAAGTCTGCCGGGATCGAGGCCGAGATTGTCGTTCAACATTACCGGGGTCTTTCGGGCAGAAACGGCTGTTATGACCCAATTCGGAACAGGCACATTTCGGCGGTAACCAATCATAAGCCACCGAGATATTGCATTGCTCACCGTTGGGCAGATTTACTGCAATCTGCTATGGTGGAGAAGAACCCAGTTGCACATCCACAAAAATCCTTGCAAGGGTGATATTTTCCTTGTCCGCAGTGCTACGATCAAGGTAAAGATGGTTACCAACACTGGTGGCAATCCTCTCCAAGCAAGCGGAATTATAGAGCACCGGTGGGACATTCCTGAGCGAAACCCATGAGGGTATCGAGTGCCGGCTTTGGTTGGTCAAGGGAAGGGCACCAAGCGGACATCACCATCGGGCAGGGCCCAATGTGCCAGATACGCCGTGTAAGGGCGAACAACTTTGTAGCTTGATCGGGAACACGGAATAGAAATTTCCTGTCTTCAAGTCGTTGGACCTTAACCTTTCCAGCATTGCGAGGCCATAAGGCATTCGTCATGCCAATGATACGACCCATTGATGGGGGCAATCCATAAAATTGACCACATAAGAAATCATCCCATTCGGTGGAGGACTTGAGTATCGATTCCTCGAGTATGTCTACAAGTGGTATTCCGGAGGGCAGCACAGACGGGTTGCCTGTTCGCTTGAGCATACGCAGGGATGAGGTAAACTTGGAACTCCAAGTCGGCGCTTGTTCGGATTTTTGCCCAGACAGTGGGGCCTGTCCTGGATTTGGTTCGCCGGCAAGGATAGCCTCGGGGGAGGTATGCCCAAAATAGTCATTACCGATTTAGCTATGTCACGCTTCGGCAGGGGCAGGAAATCGTCGCCATTGAGAATAGAGGAGCAGAGATTCGACGGAGGTGGGGATGGAGAAGGGAGTAGGCCAACGCCGACGGTCGGATGAGTCGCCGAAGAAGGAGTAGGAGAAGAGGATTTAGGTTTCGGAAGCTGAGTATCGCAGACAGGGGGGAGGTCCGCTTCACCACATTGCCCTCGAAATCGGGACAGATTGGAGGGCGATGAGGAAGAGGGAGGAGGGAGGAGATCTTGAGGTACCGGCCCGAGGATGCTCGGGGAAGGCGGAGCAGAGGAAGATCGTAGGCGAGGGGGCATGGCTCCAGCGACCAGTAGTTCCAGTTGCAGGAGCCTGCAATTTTGGGTGAGGTTGACGCCGGCCGGCAGTGGGCCGACCGAGGAGGAGGGCGATTTTTAGGTTTCGCCCGCCGCCGTGGAGAGAGATTAGAATTACGTGTTACTTGAAACGTCCGTGATAACCATATCGTTCAGTATCCTGCCATGTTTTTTTTATATAATTTGGTTGTATTACTCAAAAATGGTGGGACATGGTCCAGGATACAAAATCCACGTTACAAGCCTACCAAGCTAAGAAACCCTGCGGTAATAGACCCAATACAATGGACACAACTTACATAGTATAATAATTTATACTCGTCTTCACTTGTCTATGTCTCGGCGGTATGTGATAGAGTTAGAGAGTACCATCTCTGCAACAGAATGTTGTTCGGCGTCTCACGAGTCTGCTGCAACGATAAAAGCGTGTTCCTTACGGAATGATCCACTTTCGTGGCTATGTCGCTTGAAGAGGCGTAGACATTGTTAAAAATTCGCTTGTTCCTCTCCCTCCATATCTCGTAGATCGTGTGTTGTATGAGGATTTTGGCGAGGCCCGGTCGCCATTGAGCTTCGTCCGCTGGGATACTTCCAACCCAAGCTCTGCATCCGGCAAGATCATGAGGAGGGTTTCGCCAGACCCTCCTCGCATGCCTCAACCACACAGCCGAGCTAAAGTTGCACCGAAAGAATAGATGGTTGTGGGATTCCTCCTCTTCGTTGCACAACATACAGGTTGCGTTAGGAGTGAGGTTCCACCAGAATAGCCGATCACGGGTTGGCAGCCTACCCTGCATTACCATCCAATGTACAAAGTTGTTTCAGAGAATTGCAAGTTTAAACCATACCATTTCAAACCATTCCACTTCTGGTGAGGATTCTCTGATTTGCCGCCATGTTGCCGCACTTGAGAAGGAAGGGGAATAAGAATCATCACTTGTTCTCCATTCAAACGTATCCGGCTCACAATCATCTGTCGGCACCGTAGTCGTCGAGAGTCTGATATGCAACTCCTGGATGCGCTGTGAGCGGGCCCCCGGAAGACACCAGTTCCCCCCTGAGGTGGCTTGGTTGACCGATGCGTCTCGAAGCAACCTCGGGCCATCCCTTCCGATGAAGTCTATCAATGGCCCAAGGTCTGTCCAGCAATCATACCAGAATGATGCTTGCTGCCCATTTCCTAGCTTGCATCTTATGAACCGCCGAACAACATCCTGCAGTGTAAACAATTTTCGAATATTCCAAGATAAACGTGGGCTTGCTTTGTAGTTCCAAAAAGTCTGTCTTCGGAGAACGTTTGTCCGGAGCCACGCTACCCACAAAGACCCTGATCTCGTGAATAAGGACCAGACCATCTTCAACCTTGAAACTGTATTTGTATCTGCCATGCTTCTGATACCGAACCCACCCTCCTTCCGTGGTTTGCATATCGAACTCCACGCAACCCGATAGAAGAGATACACCTATGAAAGAGACAAAGGAGAATAGAAAGTGAAATCGAGAGAGAACAACAAATGTGAAGAATAATTTTGATATTTAGAAAAAAATGTAGTTTGTAAATACTTTTTATATATTTTACAAATCACTTTTTGTACATTTGTAAATTAACCATAAATATGGTATTGTATAATAATATTGGGAACTTATATATAGACCATATTAGACCTCACGCCAACGCCAACCAATATATCCAATT